TATTACCAGATGTAAAAAGGCCTACTTAAAAATAAATTGTACAATATTATAACAAATTATGAGTTTGTAAAATATATATTTTTAGTAGGCCTTTAAACAGCTTCAGGGCATAGTGGCAGAGGCGTCAGCTGATGTTTTATCTCACTGTTTCTAAAGTTTTTCACTTTATTACTTAGATTTGTAAACGTTTGAGGCCTGTAAAAAGACGAGAAGCCTGCTGAAGCACATGGCTACGTAACATAATGTAAACAAGTTAGCACATTTGGCTCAGCTTTTCCGATTTGTCCAGAGTTTGGTGTTCACTCTTAAGACTCCGTGAAGAAATTGCAAAGGTAAAACAAATACTAACTCTGTCATTAATAATATTTTTAGCGGCTTTAGATCCTCCTGTGTCTGTGTTTAGCTGTAACGTGTTAGCTGCAGCGTTAGTAGCGACAGCGGCGTGCAGAGGACTCTTATCATACACTGTATATACACTTTTTATACAGTTTTTATACAGTGGTTATACGTTTTTTATACAGTTTTTTATACAGTCTATGGCTCTTATATAGTTTATGCTCTACGCTATATCGGCCCGATCTATTGTCCCAATCCGATCCAAGGTGATACTTTAACTATGCCTAGAGCGGCGGCCGATACCGATACGAGTATCGGATCGGGACTTCCCTCGTGGTCAGAGGGGTCCATGGTGCATTTGGCAGCCTTACTTCTGTCAGTCTGCCCCAGGACAACTGTGGCTGGCTATAGTAACTTACCACCACCATGTATGAAGTGAATGAATGATGCACTGTAAAGCATCTTTGAGTTTTAAAAACAAATTGAATGGATTAATACAGTATTACAAAATTAGAATGAAAAGGTGGGTAAACATTCAAGTTTTATATGTAGGCCTATGTCATTTTATTTATGGTGGCTTATTCACTCAGCATATGAATATGACTTGAAACCATATAATCTGTGGTCGTGTATAACCTGAATGGAGATGTGCAGTCATGTCTAACACTTAAATGCCTCTGTATGTCTCCTCAATGTCTTCACACTCACTCACAGTCTGCCCACTCGCACAGCTGCCACTCTGCTCTGTGCCCGTGTGTCTGTGCCCATGTGTCTGTGCCCGTGTATCTGTGCCTGTGGTTCTGCTCCTTTTTTTGTCTGTGACCAGGCGGTTCTTTGCGTAGGATGTGCAGCTTTTCATCCTCCTCCTCCTCAGAATTTACCATCTTTGTCTCTCAGATTGTGTTAGACTTCCCACGTCTGGTTTGATAAAGGTGGAGAGTCGGTATCAAACCACCAATATCAAACCACGTACATGTGCTGTAGATGGGTTTGCACTTTTTAGTTTATAAGAAAAAGTGAAAACAAAAACAAATTACATAATGTGAAAATAATGCTCCCAAAACAGCGATCACCCACCCCCCTGTTTTGAAAATAAATTTCTCATTCATTTTCCCCATAGACTTTCTGAAAACAATTAATATTAGGAGTTTGAAAGCTTGCTCACGCATAATCAGCTACTTGGTGAGTGACTAATGAGCATGGGACCTTTAATTTGATTTTAAATGTTTCTGAAACTTTATAAACTTTGTTAAACATTGCTCTGACTCTTGTGTTTTAAATGTGTTTTTTTGAAGTAAAACAACTACGTCAAGGATATGAATTACCACATAGCTGGTTAGCCTCCATGATGTCTTTGAAATCATAATATTTTGAAATTTGTAAAAGTTTAAAATGTAGTGATTTTGATAATGATTTTTTGAACAGAAACAACTGATATTATATATATATATATATATATATATATATATATATATATATATATATATATATATATATATATATATATATATATTTTTTTTTTTTTTTTCCCTAGCTGTTTTACTTTGTATATTTTTGTTTGCTGTGTGTTCAAAATAAATGCTCAGGCTTTTCTCAAACAGTAATAACATTTACTTTTCAGTCCTGTTCAATAATTTTGTGGAGCAGAAAGTACAGATACCCTCTCTCAAATGTAGTGAAGTAAAAGTAAAAAGTATATACTTAAAGTGCACCGTATAACTTTTATGGTGGAGGCTCTGCCACCTGTTTTTCTCCATGGAGATATTATTGTTTTGCCTTGATTATTCCACCATATGGAAATAAACTTGGCAATCACAATCGGGTATTTTGAGCTATAAAACACCTGTGATTGAACAACTGCAAGGGAGATATGTTCGGTGCCCAACTGTAGAATAGTCCAGGGAAAGAAATAACGTCTCCATCGAGATAAGAAAATAGCAGGACCTCCACCTTAGAAGTTACAGAATGCACCTTCAAGTACAGATACCTAAAATACTTTTACTTTTGTTAAGTTCCACTGCAGCACTTGTGAACTGCCATAGTTTTTATCTGTGCACTTGTATCCTTATTCCACATATTGACTGCCTGAGGGCTGACATGACCTGGTTGAACCCTCCACCTCCTGTTTGTTGTGCTGCTCCTGTCTGCCCATTAGCCCAGGTCCCTGCTTTCTGGGCTTCTGGCCTGCAGTCACTCAGCCCCTAAAGCTGAACAGCTCCAGGACTCACCAGGTCTGGCCCCAAACCCATGACCAGCACATGATGAGAGAGTGGCCCAGGCTCAGACACAGACAGACTAAAGCAGTGCACTGATTACAACTGAAGATTTTCTTTTGAGATCATGTTTTGAGCCTTTCACAGTAAAGTGGTTTCCTTAAAAGCTTTTGTGTTGTAAAACACTAATTAGATCAATTGATTGGAATTATGTTCTTTCCTGGTTTGCCTAGTGATTCAAAGGCAGTTTGTATCTTTCCTTTCAATCATTTTTAATCCATTTCAATTAATCAATTTGAGTTTCTTTTCCTTAAATCAATGGAAACATGTTTAATTGCCAATCAGAGCATTTTAATAATATAAATAACTGGTTGAAAAGTGAAATATATTGTTTTGTTTATTATTATTGTATGTTATGTATCATTTCTTCATAAGGTGGATAGGTTAATGCAGAGGTAAATTTGTTATAAAATCACCATACATTTTGCATGATAAAAAACAGGAAACTACATTATATTTTGTTTCAGTGCAGATAATATGAAGAAATAACAGTCATGATACAAAAATTTCATACTTTCATACTTCATACCCAAAAAATGTTGATACTAAAGAATAGACTCAGTACTCAATAGTGATTCTGACACCACAACGATAATAAAAACACTCTTTTTTTAGACATTAAAATGTAGTTCTCAACATTAAATAATAGTGTTTCTCTTTACCATGTAGTTCTGTAATTGCTCAGTCGTCGCTCAGAATCATTCTAAAGTTATTCAATAAAGGTTCATTTCTGTCCTGTGAATGTGTCTTTTTTAGTATCAGTACTACTCAAATAGGTATCAGTACTAGTTTTAGAACTGATTAGTATCTGATTTTCTAAACTTTTGACAACCCTAGTTATTAAGCACTTTTGTATGATAATTATGATAGCACCAAAGGCGCAAGACATTTAAAAAGAACAAGTAGCATATTATATACTATTCTATTAGCCTCTGTTAAATATCATACCATGAGATTCTGTGATAATATTGTACCATGAGATTTGGTTATTGTGAGAGCCCTACTTATATGCAAAGTGTTATTGGTTTGTTTTATGCAAATACAGCAGCTATGAATATGAATGTGTGTACACTGTGGAATTCATTTGTGAAATTTCCATTCTGTGCCTCTGAAGTCTTTAGGTCTTTAATATCTGCCTCTTAACCTCTGTCTCTTCTCTGTCAGGTCCTCCTCCCTTTCCTCTCCCGCTTCATCCACTTATAGTCCCCTGGCATCAGCTCTGTGGCTTCATAAGATCCCCTTTACTGCTGCAGTGTAGAAATGCTAGCTTTAATAAACTACAGGAAATATAACGCGCTCACTTTGATGTATTGTAGCTGGTCAGCCATTTTTCTTTGTCAGCTCAAGTTGGGATCACAAGACAAATTGCTTTTCAACTCCCTTTGGCTTGGCCACAGTATGGTTTTGTACCAGTGTTAACTTATTTTACAAATATAATATAATAAAGTTATTTAAAATTGCAATTTGAGTGTTGAAATTACATTATTTAAGTATGATTTTCTCTGCAAACAGCACAGTATAAAACCTACTGGCTTTTTACTGTAGATTTTTAGAAACACGTGTTAGAACTTTATTGATCCACAAGGGACAAAGTAGCTCACACATCACAAAATATATAATATAAAGAGCAACAATATAAATGGTAATAATAAATTCAACATAAGTAGGAAAAATAGCAAGAGACTGGTGTCAAATAAGGTATAAGCATACACGTGTATATGTACAAGTAAAAACAAAATAAAGAAATATATTAACACAAAATATCAACTATGTACAAAAGGAGGAGCAGTGTAAAGAAGTAGTGATTGCCATGACACAGAGTTATCTATTACATAAGGCTGAGTTATTGTACAGTTGTATGGAGGATGTTTTGAAATATTTTATTAGTTTAGATTATCAAATGTTTTTGCTACTAGACATGTTTAAAGAATGAATCATGAACCAAATCCTTCTATTGAAAATAAAAACTATGCTTTTGTTAAAATAAAAGCCACTTAAGCAAGAATAAGCAATGGAGAGCTTGCTGATTGTTCACCAGAAAAGTCACACAGTACAGCTTTAAACACAAAAAATGCTGAATTAATTTGATGATGATCTAAAATTGACTGTAATTTTAATTTAGACACTTTAAACAGTGTGGCCTGAACATCCACCTTTGTTTATGTGTGATTTAATTCAGTAATGTCAGTAAAGCAAAATGATCACAATAGTACAATAATTTTAGACTTTATTGCTCCACAAGGGAAATTGTTTGGACACAGTAGCTCACACTTCACAATATAGTATAATAACGAAGAGTAAAAATATAAATGGCGATAATAATATTTTAAATGTAATGTATAATTCTCAGTTATAGTTGCGCACTTTATTGTATGGTCTCTCTTTCCACAGAGATCTTCGAGCAGCTGTTGAGGCAGGCTGAAAACCACTCCGTGTCAGTGCTGCAGGAGTCCTACAGAAACATGCCAGACCACGCCATGGAGCCAATCCAGGAGCTCTTCACGGACATCGCTCTTTACTTACTGGGATCTGAACTGAACGTAGACGACTTGATACAACGCTTCTTTGACTCTCTGTTTCCATTCGTCTACAACCACCTGATCAACCCAGGCCTCGGTGACATCTCCCCAGCGTACGCCGAGTGTTTGAGGGGAGCGAGGAGGGAGGTTAGACCATTTGGACAAGCCCCGCCCATTCTGACGGACCAGATCTCGCGCTCGGGGATGTCGGGGAAACTGCTCCTCCAGGCTCTTCATCTCGGTATAGAGGTCATCAACACCACGGACCACCTCCAGCTTAGCCGCGAGTGCAGACGGGCCCTCCTCAAGATGCATTACTGTCCACACTGTCAGGTCAGTAAGCGCAAGGTCATGGTGTAAAGGTGCACTGTGCAACTTTTCTGGTGCTTGTTTCTATGGAGATGCCATTGCACTGCCTGGAATGTTCCCCAGTATGACATTAACCAGCTCTCCCTTACATTTATTACATTTTTAAAGCTCAAAAATGCCTAGAATGTCTGTTTTTCTAACTGTGAGCAGGGTTGCCTCTCCACAGATCTGACCTGTAACATGGTCTGGTTTTGTCTTCATGATGATAAAAAGGTTCAATACCATACTGTGAAACATTCCAGACAAAGCAATAACATTTCCGTGGAGAAAAGCATTTTACGGACCCTCCACCAGACAGAAAAGTTACACAATGCACCTTTAACACGCAAACCCTGCATATTTATTCTCAAACAGAAAACACTGTTCAGTTTTGTGATGTCATTGGTAATACAGGAAGTGCTCCACTGTGTTTTTAAACTCCAAACACCTTCACTAGAACTGTTTGGATCATTTCAGCCATGGAATTTTCAATCTCTACTGAACTAAAGGTAAAACATGGCTATTAACTTGAAAACTACCACTTCATGACATCACGAGGTGGAACAGAACATTTTGAGCTTTGGAGATGTATGCAAACTAGTAATAAAGGGTTACTCATCTGTGATTAAAGCCAAACACAACTCCAGGTATGTTTTTGAAGAGGTAACAACGTGGCGTAAATATCACAATTTTGCGTAATACAGGACCTCTAAACTTTTAAATCTGAAAGCTGTTTTGTAACATGAACACTTTTTAATTGCAATTACACTCCACTTCCAATGCAGACAAGACACAAAATTAGCAATAGATAATTCTGTGTGCACTAAGTAACTTCTTTGAGTAAATTTTCTGGTGGGGTGTCGACCAACTGCTTGTCTCCATGGAGATGTTTTTGCTTTGCTTAGAAGCCACATTAAAGTATTAAGTGTCGGATGTCTTGTATTTATTTACTTACCAGTGTTATTGCGAAAAATCCCTTGGAAAAAAAAATGCATTCTTACTGTGAGCGAGTCGCCTCTCCATAGATTTGTGGGACATTCCAGCCAAAGCATAGCATCTCTAAGGAGACAAGCAGGCGCAAACTCTCCAATAAAGTTACATAGTTTATCTTTAAACAAATATCCTGAAAGAAGCAGTTTAAGATTGGTCCTTTTTATTATTTGCAGTGTGGTAAACTTTACAGTAGAGGGGGCAATAGGCCAAAACATCAACCTCACTTCTATTATCCCCCATGCTGTATAATTAGCCCATCCATTTCAGAATGATTCAACACATAAACCCTGTATATTTAGGCTGAGGTCTTCGCTCAAACTGAAAACACTCTCTTCCACCTTGTGATGTCATGTGGTAATGCAGGAAGTGCTCCACTATGTTTTAAAACTCCATACACCTTCGCTAGAATCATTTGGATCATTTCAGCTTTGGAATTGCCAATCTTTACTGAACAAAAGGTAAAGGGAGTTGTTAACTTGAAAACTACCGCATGATGACATCACGAGGTGGAACAGAGCATTTTGAGCTTTGGAGATGTAGACAGATTAATAAAAAAGGATGACTCAAACATGTGTGAATGAAACAAAACACAAATCCTGGTATGTTTTTGAGGAGGTAATAGCAAAATAACATAATTTAAGTCAATTTTGCCTATTAAGGGATCAGTGAAAGCCCTCAAAACGGGGCCTATGTAACAAGAATCTGAATCCCATGAATAGAAAAATATAGTTTAATATTTAGAGATCAATAATGTTGATATTTTCTATTCACGATATCCTTAGGGCCTCACTGAGTCCAAGCCGTGCATGGGCTACTGTCTGAATGTGATGCGGGGGTGTCTGGCCAGTCTGGCAGAGATTGATGTTCACTGGAGGGAGTTTGTGCGCTCTCTGGAGGGTCTGTGCTCTCGGATGCAGGGCTCCCAGGACCTGGAGCAAGTGCTGCTGGGAGTTCACACGCTGCTGCATGACGCCGTGGGCAATGCGCAAAGGAATGGACCTCGCATAACTACACAGGTCAGGGGAGAGCACTGCTTTGAACTTTGAATGTCCTTTGGGAAGTATCTACCTTGTATATGTATATGTGTGTGTATGTGTGTATATATATATATATATATATATGTATATATATATATATATATATATATATATATATAATATATATATATATATATATATATATATATATATATATATATATATATATATATATCATATTTTAAATTCACAGTGACTAAAAACTTTCATTCGATTGTTTTTCAATTCACATTTTCAACTGTACCCTTTTCTTAAATACCAGAACTTTGATTGTTTTGTTTGTTGTAAACTAGTTTGGAACCAGATTTTTTGAAGCAGTGATATAGATAATCTTTAACATAAACTGCATTGATATCAGACTTGTATGGTTAGAAAATAGGCAGAAGCACCAGTTTTGTTTTGTTCTTGTGAGAAAATCAAGTGTGTTCTACCTCTATGATGCCCTGTGACTCAGCTCTTTGACTCAGCTATAAAAAATAAATGGCTTTTCCACTCACAACCACAAAGTCCAGGCATAAAGGCTGTAATTTACTATGTGGCTTTTCACTTCAACCAATTTGAAAGCCACATCCCCATCTAGTGGTTGTCTTGTGTTACTGCCAGACAATCACACAGTTTATTTGTAGTACTGAAAGTGAAGGGGTTTGATGTGGTTTCATGATTTGTATTCTTACCATAACAGTGTATTTTTCCCAGCAAAATACAATTTTTTAAATCTGCTCTTTTCCAATAAAATCTGTCAATCTAACTTAATTCAAAGGTTAGGGAATGAATTCATTTGTTACCAAGTGTCAGTGAGTCTTAATAAACAATATGTTCTTTGTGAATTAAGCCTTACCTCATGCTTTATTTAGGCTATGATAAGCGTAATTATTGTGTTACCAAAAAGACCAGCAGACAGGGCTGGCTTTGTCTGGGTCCTACAAGAAATTTCCTGGAGACCCTCAGTTTGCAGAATGAACACGGATAATTATGAGGGATCAGACATTTCTAAAATTGCCCAGTCTGTTTCTTAAACAAACTGCTCTGTGTGATACAGCTTAAATGGTTGACAAGCCTCTCAAAGCACTACACTACACTCTACACACTCTCATTATTCATTCATTCCACACTCAATTGTGGTAAGCTACTTCTATAGCTACAGCTTTCCTGGGATAGACTGACATGAGTGAGGCTGTGTCCACCAGTGAGCATTTATTCATACATCAAATTCATACATGGGTAAAATAGATGAAGTGTCTAATCCAAGTGAGCCTGTCATGATAACAAATTTTGAAGCACAATATATTGTTACAGAGATATACGTGCGATAAATTACTATATTTAAACTCCTTCATGCCACTGATACAATAACAACAATGCAAGATAATGCCTGTAAACCATTTTTAAATAGATAGTATCATTATGTGGCATGAGCTGCAACAAATAAATTACTTTTTCAACTCTCTACAGCTCAAATTGTTTCGTATTACAACTAAAATAGCAAAATCTCCCCACTTTTGCAAAGAAATTGTACACACGATAAGTTTTGAGTCCTAAAATGTATTGTTCCATCTTTCCTAATATTTAATGATAAATGGATACAGTAACTATTGTGACAGACCTAAAGGACACAGGACACAGCGACACTGGTTGGAGTGGGATTCAACCACAGATTTTAATGTTCAGTCTACAAACTGAATGCAGAGTTCCAATTGTAAATTATCTGAGAGCCACACTCTCCTGTCCTTGTCCTGCGCCATTTGAAGTTATGTAATTAATGTTATTCAAAGTAAGCTTTGGGACTTTAATTAAAAAGTAAGACAGTGTAGCAAGCCACAAGTCCTCCTCCTCCTTCCCACGCAACAGCATCAGAATATAACTAAGTCCATACAGTTAAACAGAACCTCACGGCCCCAACACCAGTCTGTGTGACCGGGCAGGATCTGGACACATGAAAAGCCCATATTACTTTCACAGGCTCTTGAAAATGTGCTGTTTGAAAAATACAAAATGGATTTAAAGTTTTCTGACTATCTTAAAACTTCTTTGGCTAAAGTATGCCTGAGTATTTCACAGGCGTATCTGAGTTTAGACTTACTTACGTGTCTCCTGTCTCCTTGCATTTTAACAGGTTCATAAACTGTGTGGTCCTCCAAACAGAAGCCCCTCTCAGTCTGTTAGCATCAGTGTGGCTAAGGACCCACTGCCTCTCAAAGCTGCTCCTAGACCGACGGGGGACTCTCTCGCCCAAAGGAAAAAGTGAGTAATCATGAGGTGTTTCTTACCAATTTAAGGTGAGACACAAAAGGTGAAAGCAATAAAAAAAAATAAATAAAAAAATCACTGTTAACTTTTTCTAAAAACTTTCTGCAACTTTTGAGTAATTTGCACTCAACATGTAACATGTAACTTAAAAATATTATATCGTAATTTTTTCAAGGATCCCCATTAGTCTTGAGCAAAGACTATCATTTATGAAGTCCACAGATGTTGCAATCTTTAAAAATGTGCTTCATTTTGATTACAAATTAAAAAACACCACTCAGATTGAAAAGTGTCATGAAAGAAACCATTTGATTTTAGAGGTGTTTAAATGTTTCAAAATTGACAACTAAATGAAAACTTACTTTATTTTTATTGTCTTTTTTAATGATCTATGTTGTAAATTAACTAAAATTAAACTTTTTAATCCTCTTCAATTTCAGAGATTTTCTGAGTGGCCTACGTTTGTACCGGACATACTACGGTGGCCTGGCGGATCAGTTATGTGTGAACGAGCTTTCCCGAGGTGATGGAACTTCCTGCTGGAATGGCACCAACATTGTTCACAGGTTTGTCAACAGAGATTAATGTACAATACACTTGGCATAGGCTCAGGTTTAGTGTGCTCCATATTTAAAATACAGTGACAGAAACCCATTAGATCCAAGTTTCACATTAATTCTAATCAAAAGTTTCTGAAATTTCCGACGGAGAAGATTTGTTGCTGCTATTTTTCCTTGTAAATTATTGCATGTCATTGTGTTGTCGGGCAAATTACTCACTGCTTTCCTTGAGTCGATAATTTAGACATTTACAAACCCCCTCCAGACTTCCTGCCATTAAATCCCATCTAAAGGTAATTAATTAATTTTAATTTTTGACACCTTATGCTTTTGCTTAAATTAAAACAGAGTGTGAATGAATATGCAAAGACTCGAGAGAGAGAGGAAATATAGTTGTATGTCCAGAAGGCTTGACATTTTCAAATAATCCTGTAGGATCAGGATTAATCCAGGGAGTCTCTAAATACATGTATAATGAAGAGCGTTATAATCCCACGCATTTGGCTGCAGACAATACCTGTATTATAGTTAAGCTGTATATAAATAAGTTAATATAAATAGCCTCTAACCTTCAGTTTTAAGTAACTAAGGCTTAAAAAAAGTTGTGTGTTTTGGTATTTAAAAAGAATGACTGACTAGAAAACTGAGATGGTGAGTTTGAGTTGAGTTTTTAACCTCAAGCAATTTTTGCTTTTTTGCATTTTTCAACATTTCTTTGGCCTTTTGTTGAAGAATAGTTCTCTGCTATTTCGAGGTTTAAGCACAATATCATTTGGACGTATTAAGTGTAGATGAATACATTTTTTATCAATGGCTCCAGGGCTTGAAAAATACATGCATAAAGTTAACTAATATTCTTTGCCTGTTATTCAGCGTCTGTTTTATACTCCTATCTGCTTCTCTAAAATCATAACAGAAATGGTTATCTTTTGTTTTTCTGATGTATTTTTTACTAATTGACAGTATATTTAACATATTTTTCTAGCTGAAGTCTAGTGAACAACCAGGGCTAATTTATAAAAAAAAAAAAAATGAAACTAGATACTCATTTGAACAAGTAGGAATACTGAAAAAAATCACAAACAGGATAAAAATGGACTGTATAGTTTTAGTTTTATAGGTTTTAATATATATATTGTAGTAGATGGCTACAGGGTAACACTCATTGTGATAGTGTGATTCAGTATTGTATTCAAGTCCATGCTTCCGCTGTAGGGAGTATCATAACCTCTGATGACGGTGGCCAGATAACAAGGATTTAGCTGGAGGTGTCCTTGATACAGCAGTGCAATTTCTCAGTTACATCAAAGAAACTGCTATTATTTAGTGTGTTAGAATGTAATTTAAAATACATCTTATTGTCTAAAACATTTTGTATTATCACTGGTTACCCACGGGAACCAAACAGGTACCCACAAATAGCTGCTGAAACGAGCGGGTTTTAATGTTCTGGAATCTGGCAGGTATGGGGGCAGGTAGTGAGTTCACATGGGCGGGTCAGATGAATCAAATGAACAACGAACGGGAGAAAAATACTTGGCATGCATCCAGGACATCCGTTGCTCTGGAAACAAGTGCCATTTCATGGTCTTTTCCGGGAACGATGGCAGACCAGGCTGAGAGAGTGACTTTAGTGTATTACATAAAACTCATCAGAGGAGGTGATCGACTGCGCTTCTGGTTTAGTCCTGGTATAGTCCTTGTCCAGTCCTGGTGTAATCCTGGAGATCGGCTCTGCGGTTGCGGTGTGTATATTTTTATAATCCGCTAATGACATGGCGTAGGTTCAGTCTTGGTTTATTCCTGGATTAGTCCTGAACTATTAAGGTTTCGGACTAATGGGCTGAACTCGATTTATCACGGGCACGGGCAGGTAACAGGTGGAATGTTAACGGGTTAACGGGCGGGTGTGGTGCTGTACTGTGTTGCTGCGGGCGGGTGTGGGTCTCCAAAAATGGACCTGTGGAGGATTCAGGACAGCTTTCTTTATACAGTCTGAGTCTATGGTGACACTAAACCTGCTTAAATGTTCCTAGATCCTTGTTAACGGCCGCATTCCCGGGTCCCTTTAGTCTTTTCTATCACTCTTTGTGCCCTGCTTCCCCCCTCCCACCTCCACTCAAGGCCCTCTTCATATATTCCAAGGCGGTGGTTGTTCCTTTTACCTGTCAGCGCCTGTCAGAGCGGGTGAAATGGCAGCTGGGTCAGTATATCAAACTACACTGCGGCGGAGGTTGGCGCTCGGGTTAGCAGATCCATTGTAAAAAACCCAACCTTGTAGGGAGCATTTCACGTCTGGTATGTGAAGGTAAGAAGGATGTGAGGGAAGAGAAGATGTGCTTTTATGAAATAGATGGACACAATCATACAGTCCTTAGGGATGGGTCATAGCCCTCAGTTACTCATAAAAACATTGTTACTATAGCGACCGTGCACCAAGGTTAAGTTTCCATTTGGCGGTTGACAATTTGGGCTTTTTATCTTTGTTATTTTCTAACATAACACACTGAGTTTCTATTACAAAGGCAGCAGGCAGCGCTGAGAATAGAGACTTCAGGCCAAAGCTCCAGGCTGCAGACTGTCTGTCATCTGTGCTTATGGGCCGTGCACTTTCACTTCACTCCACATCTTCCTCTGTCTCTCCATCCTCATCTTTTCTATCAGCAGGGACCACTTCAACAACAGAAGGAGGGAGAGGAGTCGACTTAAATTTCGGATATGGCTAAAGTAAAATAAATGTTGTCTTTTGAGATTGAGTTTAAAGAAATGTTGCAGTTTTAAGTGTTCCCATAGTCCATACAAGCACTTTGTATTCTTAATTCATCTTGTAGAGTTTGTGGAGGTTAAATTTTTATGATTATACTTTAGGCTCTTATGTACAGACCTCTGTTTATTTCATAACTTGACACTTTTAGCTGCACTTTGCTGTCTTCTTCCTGCTGCTTTAGGAGTTTAAATCTCATTTTTGTCAGTATAGTAACTTTTGCTTATTTATAACAGTACAGTATGTGATTTTGTAATGCTAGTAAAGTTACTGCAATTTCTGGACTATAAGCTGCTACTTTTTTCTCAAACTTTAAACCCTAATATATGGACAGATTCTTTGTTTGGCACATTGTCTATTCATATATACGGTCTATGGTTTGGCAATACAGTGGGTGCACGTGCAGCCTGAGTGCAGAGAGCGCTGCTATCTGTGCGGTGAACACATAGAACATGGGTTAGTATGAAGTTGGAGCTCTAAAAGAGGCTGATGGCCTGAACTTGAAAACCTTCTTGAAGGCGTGGACACCTGCAACTTATATTCAGGTGTGGCCTATATATGTACAATTTAAAAATTTAGTTATAATTTAGTTCATGTGGCTTATATTCAGGTGCGCTCAATAGTCCAATAATTATGGTATTGTTATTGCAATGTAAAAGTGGAAGTGGAACGTTTTCTTGCTACTAAACTCCAGGGTTTAATAGCACTGTGCACTTTCCCTAGTCCTTTTTGGCAACTGTAGTGTAAACTAGGTACATTTTAAGTTTTCTGGTCAAAAATAGTCAAAGACTGAGTCTGTGATGCCTCTGGTGGCTAATACGATGGGAAGTGCTATGTGACATCACACAAGACTGCCCTGATTACAGCCAGGTTTTTTGATTACAAAAACCAAAATGCAGGGGCAGAGTTTGAAGTGTGGAGACTTGTCCTACCAATTACAGTCTTCTTCATATGTCCTTCTCCCTTATTCTCTTCTTTAGTCCTTCATGTACGGCCCAGTCTAGTAGCTCTATTTGAAATGTGGTTGTGGGAGAAGTTTAGATGTTTAGGTCCACTTTAACTTCAAGCTGGTTTTGAACTATGAGGCTTCTCTTTGATTTGATGTATGTTCACATTCACAAAAGTAATCTGATCACTAAATCACCAAAATACTAGTAACATGTGTCAGTTAAATCAATGGATTTTTAGAGTAATTGCTATATTTGTGAGATAACCTTTAAAATAACTTCCAGTCTTTAACATTTTCTGTTTCATTTTTCTCTTTGACACATTTGTTTATTTCATATAATCGTGTGAACAATCAAAAGAAATCAGTTTACTCACATCAGATGTAACTGTTGACAAGACAACTCTGATAACTCCAGAAATTAGCTCATTATCAGATTTTGGTGTTCATATAGACATCACCAGTGCTATGTTGAACTTTGAAGACATAAGCCAGCCACTAAATATAACTCCCACTAAACTTTTCAACAATATTCACACCCTTGTACATGCCCACATCACCGCGGGTTAGCTGTCTGATTTTTTTTATTCTTTTTCAGACAAAAAGGCAGCGGAGAAATTGAAAAACATTACCAATCTTACCGGGAAAAGGCCTCCAAATCGACTTGAGCTGTGCGCCTGCAGCCTTGCACACTTCCCATGGCTCTCTTTCTATTAGCCCCCAACTATAGATGAGTAGCCCAGAGTCAACACAGCTCCAGACTAAAGCAATAAATAACCCACTGCCTTCGGGTCATAACCTAACATTCAGAGAGAGAGAGAGAGAGAATAAAACTGTGCCTGAGTTTACCGAGCCTGAAGAGGGGTCTGTGATTGCACTGTTCTCCTTCTGTAGAGGCTGTGTGAACTGTGAAGGGGAGTACTTACAATTATGTACTTGAGTAACTTTTATGAGTGAATAGGACTGCTATAAAAGTATTTTGGTAGGGACATATTGAGTACTTTTCTTAGGTGTATTACTATTCTGCTCTTGCATAGTCTTATTGCATCATTACACTTTACTTGATTAAGGACCGTTGGAAATTGCAGCACTCATAATTAGATTTAAATTTGTTTCTGTTTTTATCTAGTAGTAAAAATAGAACACATGCATTTTATGATCTATGTGGTTGGTTACACAAATATCCAAAAAGACATTATCCACACAATCACTGAGCATTTTCTTCTTTCTTCATTTGTACTTTTTCACTACTTAAGTCAGTAACTATTTGATTCTGGAGTTGAGTGATTGCAATTA